CAAGGGTTTAGGGTCTATGGGGTTTAGGGTCAAATCTTTGGTTTTTAGACATTCCGGTTCTCTCATGCCTCATCACATGCTGGATCATGGGGCTGACTTGTGACACTCATGTAGAAGACGTGTATCCAGGAGCGCTTGATCTCAAACCTACGCTTCACTCAGGCATCTCAAACATATTTTCTTCGTGGATCTTGTGCCAAAAGACAACCAGAACGAATCCCAAACCCATCCTGTCACAATGTGGATTTCTTTGCATCTTGCAGGGCGGCGCCCAAAGTTCCCACTTCACAAAAGGTGCGAATGTGGTTGCGGCAAAGGGCTTGCAGCGAGACGCGATGTTTCAGCTGGTACGTCACAACAACTATTTAGAAAACGCCTGGTGCCCAACGATGCTCTCGTTTGCAGATAAAGGGCTTCTAAGCCAGTACCGAGGGTCTAGACAGAGCCTTCACACACTTCGCACAACTTCGCACAACTTCTACGGTTGGTGCCGCAGTGTCAAGGACAAGTGTAGATGGCGGCATGTGAGAGCGTCTGGGACAGTCTCACGATTAAACTTCATCATTCAGCCAATCGCCTGGTACCATTCTTTGAGGAATCGGATCTGAACTCTAAGTCTAAATCCCTCTGTCAGAGCATGCATGTTGGAGCCTCTTGAAGCGGCAGCTACGTCCACTGGTACGCAAATCCGTTTCGGGTTATGTGCCTTTGCGACTGCACAGTACTTCTGAGAGCAAGTACGTCGATGAAAGCCTTCCAGCCTCGAGTGCCTGCCCTTAAACAAAAAAGCTTCAACTCAAACCAGAGAGAAGCAGCAAGGGTGGCCATGGGTACATGCGATAGCGTCCCGAAGTTTTGAAGTCCTCTGCCCCGATTATTTGCCTGCATCGTGCGAACATGCTGGCAGCCCTCAGAAACTTGGTGTGTTGGCTAATTGGTGTAGCAGCTGGGGATGCGCTACAAAGGTCTGAAACGACCGAGGTGCCGCTGGGTGAAAGCTGTCTCCGTTGTGCGGCAACTTCACATGCAGCAGTTATGTTCCGTGCAGGTGCACTTGAGTTCCATCAGAAGCATGCTGCCAAGGTCTGACACGTCGTCTTTTGGTGCTACACACATCTATACACATCTTGTGTGAAAGTCCTGAGTCCAGGTATACTTAGGTCGATTCCACGCACACCTGTCTTCCATCTCATGTTGATCTGCTTCATCTAGGACGGATTAAGCCTACTGACCGTGGACAATTGTTGGTCACTGTGCCTTGCGCTCACCAACCCCCACGAAGACTTTCTCTTTCAAAGATTCGGCCGGGTTGACTGGAAGAAAGTCATCTTGGCAAACACGGTACGGGACATGCTCCATGACTCCATGACATACTTGTTGCAAGCCTTGATGTGTGAATGAATGGCTGGGGGCAAAACTCACCACCATGATTTCTCGGAGAAGACGGAAGACCTGGCTGGAAATGAAGAGCAAACGAGCGTCACTCTCTGTCCAGTGCTTCGAGGATCCCGCAGAAGATCCGTCGCAGATCTTACGCCACAGGCTAGGGGAAGGTTTCCATGACACGGATCTTATCGAAGTGAGAGGAGCCCCTCAGAATCAGAAGAGGCCTGAAGACTGAAGACGGCTACAGTCAGAGGCTCGTAACGAGATAAGATGTTACAAGCGGCATGGAACAGAGGGAAGCCCCGCAAGGCTCGGCCCATCAAGATCTGAAGCAAAGGCTCCAAAACAAAGATGCGCTTTAATCAAGTCCAGGCGGATACCTTGAAAATCTGAGACATCTGCCTCGCACCGCCTCCTGTGCCTGAGAGAGCGCTTCCCGCTTCGCAGGAGCGCCGCCGGCTCCTGGAGCAAATCCGCGGCTGCAAAGCTGGCTGGCACGCCGAACAGGCCTTCAGGCCAGGCCGCCGGGAGCCGAAGCGTCAGCAGAAAGTTTGAACGAAGCATCCCAAACATGATCCCACCCACCAATTAGAAGGCCCCTTTTTTTGGGTGTTTCCCTGAGTAGAAGTAGTAGGGGGGAGGGTGCTGCAGGCTGCCAAGCTCTCCCTGAAGGTATGCACCTGCCCACCTCCAAGCCGACAAGGAGGTCGCCTTGGAGGCGGCGACATGAAAGCGTGATGAATCCTAGTAAAACTGGCTACAATTATCACCCTACAGGCAGAGCCCCTAAAGCAGGTGCTAACATCAAAAAATCCATCAACCCTCTATGTTAAAATACCCTGAAGACTTTTGAGTTCGCAGCCTCGAGGCCGTATGGAGGGATCCTAGAGGCAAAGCAGACAAAGCCCCAGAAAATTGCATGGCCTCCACAAAAAAGAGCCAGGAAAAAGAGTTGAGTTCCTTATGAACCCTACGAAGGCCCTAGAAGCGCCGCAAGTCCCATAGAACCTCTGTACACCGCCTTATCATCTTTGTAATCAACAGGCGGTTCGGCAAGATGGCAGCGCACTGCAGCATGCGTCGGCAAAATTGCGGGGCGACAAGGACGTGGTGCTGGAGGCCGTGGCGTGACAGGGAGATCGAGCTTTGCAAGCCCCACACAAATATTACCATTACAGCCCCTATGTGAAATTACATGAGCTCCATAAGATCTAGTCGCAGGCTTCAAGCTCGTATAAAAATCCACAAGCTCTCTTTTAAAAGTCACTCTAAAGAGTTCAATGGTGCCGCACCCGCCAGCACAAAAATCTTATAAGTAAACCCCACAAAGGCTCCTACAAAACTCCATAAACCCTTTCATATAGAAGCTTTTTCGCCGCTTTTGAGATTTGCCACCCAACCAGTGCAGGCTGTGCGGAGAGATCCTAGAAGTAAAGCCTAAAGCCCACAGAGCTCCGGAAAATTGCATAACACCTCCAAAAAAGAGGCAGGGTAACTAGCTGAGTTCCCTATGAACCCTACGTAAACCTCTTAGAAGCGCCACAGAGCCTAGTAATCCCCCCCTGAAGCCGCAACAGGCGGTTCGGAAAGATGGTCTTGCACTGGCGTATGCATCGGCGGATTTGCAGGGAGACAAGGACGTGGTGCTGGAGGCACTGGTGTGACAGGGAGATCGAGCTTTGCAGACCCTACACAATTTTTGCCAGTAA